GTGGCGGAGATGCATCCATTCCTTGTGACTGATAATGCCCAATAAAACTATATGGTTCTTTGACATTACTATTCTTTTTGCCTCAAATCTCTGTTTACTGTCACTATTTTGTATGTCTTTATACTTTCTTGTCTTTCTTTGTGTGCTACATTGAGTGTGGCGACTCGAAGTGCTGCACATCTGTGCAAAGTTCTATGTCGAAAACAGACAGCCAGAATCACTTTGGTAATAGCCTTCAACGCACACACACACACACTGCCATCTTTTGGAACAAAGCAGAGCCATGTTCAAATGCCAAAGATTCATGTTTCGGAAAGAATCAATTAAATGAAACATATCAGTGAACAAAAGTAAAACTCTTGTGTTAATACTACTTATTATGTAGCCTAATTTTAAGCAATTTATGAAAAAAAACTAACTTCTTTCACTTACCTAAAGATCATCGCTTCAACTACAGCCGGCACAGATGAAAATGTCAAAGCTAGGCAGGATCGGAAAAGGATGAGACAGACCTTTATTAATCTGAAATCAATGTGGAAATCTACAGCACTAGGCATGAAGAACAAGATGCAGATCTTCAAGATTAACGTCAAGTCAGTTCTTCTATATGATTCAAAGAATTGGCACGTCATGAAAAATATCTGCATCAGTCAAGTGCAGACTTTTGAACAACAACTGTCCATTTCGTTCCATACTGTAGGCGAGATAGCTGGTCAGAAAGGATAAGTAACAACAAAACTGCAGAAGAAAACGGAGATGGATCAGCTATACGCAGACGTAGTCGTTGAGTGATATATTGCACCATACCCCCTAGAGTGGAATCCGAATGGGAAGCTAAGAGTTAGGTGTGGGCCAAAGGGTGACGTATAGGAGGAGACTAGGAGCTTATGGACGCTCCTGGAGCCAGCTAAAAGAGTGCATACAACAGACTGAAATGGAGATGTGCTGTTAAAGTCACATATTCCACTCGGAACCCAAGGGGGTGGCGGGGTAAAACTAATGATAAATTCATAAAGTCTCAAAAATGAATACTTTAACTGACTTTGACATCAACTCAACATACAACCGAATATGTGTAAATCTAACAGTCTCCCCCCAATCCCTGTTACTTTCATTCACATTACAGTGTGAAATTATGATTGTTGATACAACAGTTAGGTAATCATAATACTATGTTCGATTACAGAATTACATAGCATTATTAATGATGAGCATACGGTTATATATATATATATATATATAAAGTCAATCCCTTGTGTTCCGAGTTTAAAAATAGGGCTTCAGGATTGAACTTTGAAGTTGCTAGCCTCACGCCCAACTCTAACCTTTTCGGGCTAGTAGATTATGCAAGATTCAGGAGTGCATCGAGATGCAGTGCGTGGGGGGTTGGGGGCAATTGAAGCTGGACGACATACGTGGTTGAAGAGGATTCTACCATTGAACCATCGACGCATAAGCTTTTCCATAACCATTTTTATCAAAGTGAACACGCTATTCCAAAGATACTAAACGTGTAATATGCATTTTTTTCCTCTCCTACGCATTACCGCTTTTACTCTTAGTTTTAACCTATGTGTAACCAAATTATATGCTGAGTTATAATAACAAAATTTCTGGAGACATAAAAAACAGCTAGAATTCACTTCGTATACAAAACGTTTTATGTACATAGAAATATGCTTCGGTGGAATATATTTTACACACAAACTGTCTACATTTTGAGGTCGAATTAATTTCCAACTTACTAACTTTGTTTCAGGATTTCATCATGAGCTGACATCAGTTAGAGAACCATTGGAAAATCACCTGGGAGTACTGGACACCTGTTTCATCCTAGTTTGGAACTCTTCGGCAGTACGCACCCACCGAGATTCGAAGCCAGGACCTTCTGGTTACTAGGCGAGCTCGTATACCATTAAGCCACTGGGACCCAATCCAATGGCCCATGAATTCTAGCTTCTGCCAATTCACGATATAGCGCAACCGCCAGCCAATGTCTTCGGCGAGTAATTGTACTCACACCCGACCAGCTGAACTCTATTGGTCACGACTTCCCAGTGGAACCCAGGTAACCGCCTACCTGAATAGGGCCAGTCGCCAGTGAGCATCTCATCGGTATTCAAACCAACACTAACTAATGTCAGCTCATGATGAAGTCCTGAAACCAATCACATCCCTACAAACCAACACTTGAGTACTAACTTTGTATTATTATCTCAGTTATGTACTACACTGTGGCGTCTAGAAGAAAAGCCACTAGTCTTACTGGTTAAAGACTGACTGAAAATTTACACAGATTAACCAATTTTGAGATTATCAATGTTCTTATTACTTTTACCTCATGTGGTCATACGCCTTTAACATCTGAATTATTAACGATAATAAAAACATGACAACTATTTTCTAGAAATGCTGTATAATACAAAAAGTTGATTAATGCGTACAACAACAAAAAAGAAACTGAAGTCTCTTTTCAGATTTATGAAAATGCCTTTTTCTTTAAAGTTCTTATTCATTTCTAAGCAAGCATAGACACAATTCTAATGTAGAAATCTGTCTAAAAGCGATGGGATGGATGGTACGCGAATCAAGTGTGCTTGTGTGTAAGGCTCGAAGAATGATATAAGCTATATGCATGCGCTCCACTATTATAACGTTCAAAATAAGCAGAGATATAAATCACTGCCTTAAACAATAGAGTTACAGTCAGACGGTCACAGGTTCGAATCCCTCACCACCACCACCACCCACTTCAACCTGCTTAATATCACTAGCCTTCACACAATAAAGACCGATGATAGTTTGGAGTTCAAATAATAAATAATAATGCTGTCTAAACTAGAAGATGAAAAATTGATAGCCTAGTTCACTGATAACTTTTTATTCATATTCCTTCGGCTGATCAACAATCACTTGCGATTCTATGAACCACATCTATTGCGTGTGGGTTAATGATGATGATGATATTACCTTACCATTCAAATCTCCGTAGGTGGAACTAGGTACGAACCTGTCACTCACTAATTAGAAGTTAAAGCATCCAAACAAATGAGCCAAGCATCACCTGTAATCACCTAAGTGATTAAACAAACTTTGATTTACTACATTAAGTCTCCTAATGAAAAACAAAACAAACTATTTTAATACCATACAAACAAAAATGCTCATATGGTCAGTAGAAAATTCCGATATTCTCTAAGAAATGAAAAGGTGATTAAAAGAAGTCTATTCCCATACATGAAAAACGGTAACCAAACATCATTATTGCTGACTAGTTTCAACATAGAACTTTGCACAAATGTGCGGGAGTTCAAGTCGCCACACTCATGTAGCACACAAAGAAAGACAAGAAAGTATAAAGATATACAAAATAGTGACAGTAAACAGAGATTTGAGGCAAAAAGAATAGTAATGTCAAAGAACCATATAGTTTTATTGGGCATTATCAGTCACAAGGAATGGATGCATCTCCGCCACCCATTGAGAATGATTATGAGCAATATCACCAATTGTCTCCAGCCTTCATTGGTGTTTATCGTCCCAAGGACCCAAACCAGGAAGTCGACACCTCCCTCCCTGGCTGGCTTAAACTAACTGTTGTGGATTCCACTGACTGATGAGGCCATGTTTTAGTTCGACCACCACTGGCTCTTTTCCAACCTGACCCTATGTCATCTAACATTGCCCGTCGAAGAAGGCGATGGTTAGACTAGGCATGCGTAACACACGTCCTAACCATCTCAATCGATGCGGCTGATTCACAACCTCGTTGATTGATTTCCCCTCCTTGCCTAGCACTCGACGGCTAATATCAATATTACTCACCTTAATATACCATTTCACACGGGAGATAGGTAGATTGGCACCTATGATCAAAGATAGCTAGCCTTTTCATGTCTTCCACTCTCAATGAACAAGTCCACTGTTACTTAAACTTCAAAGTTTCAAGGTGTATATTCCATTCGCAAAACACCTAAGGAATTAAGAATGAAGAAAAATCCTTTTAGTTAAATTACCGTACTTCAATGACTTTGTGAACGTTGATTCCCCTTAAGAGTATTTATTATTCTTCTACACTTACGTCATAATCCAACACCAACGCAAACGTGCCTAAAACAACTTAGTCCCAAAGGAGAAGAATACACAGTCAAGAAAACATACTTTTGCTTTCTTTCAAAAAAGACGTTTTGTGTGTTTTCAGCTTTCAAAAGTTTCAATTATGAAAATATGTAAATTCACTCATGGAAGGGATACTTTAATTAAGATAATAACAATTAATGCATACAAGTAATGCCAGTAAAAGGATAAGCTTACAACTAATTAACTAACAAGGTGGAATAATAATAATAATCATAGAAGACATAAGGGGATGAAGCTATTCAGGACGTCATTGACATATACTTTGAAATATTATACAGAAAACAAAGACGATGAATCAATCCACAAAAGATTATATAAACCTATATATATTTACTAAAGTTATACAATACATCAGAAGGTGCGTCAGTGGCACAGCGGTTAGGACGCTCGCCGACCATGACCATGTGCATGGTCCGGGGTTCTATCCCCCGGCCACCGACGCCGCACTCCTTTACCTCGATAAGCCAGTAATGAAAGAAAAAAAGCTGGTTAAGCCTCTAACTTGAAGCCGTATGTTCCACTAGGAACGTGAAGGAATTTAAAAAAAAAGAATACAAAACAGAAAAATAATTATTTACATGTTTGATGAATTATACTTTTTAGAATTTGACTACAGTTGTCAACATACATGGCATTGTGAAGTAATTTTTTTTACAAAGAGGAAATCAAAAGAAAGATAATATCAGTGAATTAGTTTCTTCTTTCTTTCCCCTCTTTCTTTATATGCTCCATTTTTCTTTTCCACACCACGCCACTACACCACACCTCTCTTCCCCCCTCTCGCCCCGATTCATTGAATGGATTGAACATATCCCTATAAACAGATACCATATACAAAATGGTCCAGTTAACTCTCTCTGTATATACATATATATATATATATATATATATATATATATATATATAGGAAGTGTGGTGGATCCGACAGTGACATGGGAGAAGATAATGTGAAGAAGTAATAACTATGGGTTGACGACAATCATAGAGTCAGTTGAAAAGGATGGAGTTGAAGGATCAAGTGTAATAATAGAAATAATAATAATAATTTCGCCCAGTTTTATTTCAATTTCAGTGTGTATTAAAACAGACTAGTGAATTGAATTGACTTAAGCATGTGAAATGAATACACATCTATAAACACTAGACACACACAAGCTTCTAACAGAAGATAGAAGGTGAAAGAAGCCAAGAACTGATGTACAGGTTGAAAATAAACTGAAATATTTATTACACAAATAATGATTATCTATTTTAAGAAAAACAAAATAAGGATAATTAAAAGCATAGAGAAATGAATATTGCTCTTTTTTTTAATGTATTATATGAATGAATCACTAAGTTTTAGGCTTTTATATGTGCAAAATTAATGGAATCGTAGAATAATGAATAAATAAATAAATAAATTATTCACGTCTAAAAAAGTCAAGATACATTTTAAAAAAAAAAAATAAACAATAATTATTGATATTACTCATTAAACAGTTTCTGAGAATATATTCAATCCAAGAAGTTTAAATTCATCGGTGTAGAAGCTTAATCCAACAGGTTTACAATCACCGACAGTTAAACGATAATCAGCCAGTTTAACTAAACCATGATAATGAACCAAGGCAGCAGCCACAACAAAAACATGAAATATTTGATGACTTTGAAACTATAAAAGAGAAATAGAGAGAGGAAACCATTAATAATAACAATAATAATGGTACTATTATGGCGATGAAAAGGCATTCATTTTATAATACACATTAACTTTACTATTGAAACTATTCATATGTTACTGAATAACAATGTGGATGTGTTTGTGAAGTTTGATTATGTTGCCTATATGCGAAAAAATCAGTGAGTGGAATAAAGTTTAAGCTTTACACCTGATGACTAAAAGTTCTTCAACTGACATATCACCTCTTTTGTACATAAAGTGTGGAAATGGACCTAGTTATCGTGACCCAACCGATAGCTGCTACCTTGACGTGGTAGTAGAGCTTGCATATCTCGTAATGACTCAACAAGCTACACTGACTGGAACTTTGTTCCTGCAGGTCCTACCATGCCTGGAAGGTTGTTAGGATAGCGATTAGACTAAAAGCAGTTACCGGCATTGTAAGAGAATCTTTCTTACACTATGCTGGGGGTCTGAGGGCGAAGTCGTACTGCTGGGGAACAGAGATGTAACGGCAGTGAGGTGCTTCCCTCAGATGACCAGCATGCCAGCCACCTATGCTGTCTCTCCACTGCGGAGAGAGGGGATTAGAAAAGGTCGACCCCCAAAAATTGTACATCCTGACTTACCCTACGGTGGTCCGTAACCGGCGGTAAGTTTACTATTACGGAGTCAATCCAAGAAATTAGTTCATACACGCCGTATGTGACCGACCTTAAGCAGTTGTCCACTGAGCTCTGTGGTCACGCTACATTAACTCTCTTTCTGTTTCACGTACCCGAAGAATCAATCAATTTCCACAGTGTGCGCAGTCGGGGAGTAACAACTGCCCACACACTTCCAGAAGGACACGAAGTCATCATTCCCCTTACTCACATCACCTTCCTCATCTTGCTTCTCTACTTCAGTCAGTACTATTCTTCAAAGTAGTGAGTCCTTTTCACTTCACTCTGTGACCACCAACAACGATGAGAGCCATAGAAACACCCCCCAAAAGCCTCTTAAAGTCACGTTGCCAACTTCATATAAGAACATTTAACGTCAGGACCCTCTGCCAAACCGGACAGCAGGCATCACTAACAAGAACTCTGGCATCTCGAGACATGAATTTATTTTGTGTTTCGGAGACACGCACACAAGATCCGAGTGTGGTCACTCATTTAACCTCACCAGGTCAACAAGATGAATCTGCGAAATTCACTTTAAGGGTGTCAGAACACCCATCAGCTAGTTCGCGGGTGTAGGGATAGCACTGAGTGTTAGAGCAGAAAACTCACTTCTGGACTAGATCCAAGTAGATAGTCGTATGTATGACGTCCGTCTGAACGGGTTCATTAGCAGAAGGAAGGACAACATTATACATCACTGTCTTCTCAGAGTCTCCGCTTACACCCCAACAGACTGCAGTTCGGATGAACTGTAGGTTGATTTCTACCTGAAACTGCCTAATTTGCTGCAAAAAGCAAAACGCTCAGATATAGTTGTTTTAGCAGGCAACTTCAATGCCCAAGTAGGGAAGTTGTGCCAAACTGTGAAGTATGTAGGTGGTACGTGTGGAGTTCCCTGCCGACGAACCGACAACGGTGATCGTCTCTACAGTTTTGTTCAGATAATCATCTGTTCCTAGTTAGCACTAACTTTAGGCACAAACAGAGACATTGTGTAACCTGGAGATCTCCATCACCATATCAACACTAGATTTAAACAGACCATATAGTGACAAGGTATCGCTGGAGAGTCAATAGAAGACTGCCGCTCCTTCTGGAACACGTGCGTAGACTCTGATCACGCTCTGGTTCCCGCACGTTTATGCTTACGACTAAACGGACATAAAAAAATTGTTAGCAGCGAAGCAGTTACGTCCCCAACTAGATAGAGACGCTGAGTCCCTATATAAGGAAGAAATAGAAAAACGTTTATCTGAGGTCGACAGCAGGACTTACCCGAGGTAGCCTGGCACAACATACAGTTAGCTGTAGACACGGCTATAAAAGCTGTTAATAACCTGAAACCGAAAGTTAGTAAGAACTATTAGATTTCTACCACCTCATCCGAACTGAGTGACGCAAAATGATTGATTCCGGCGAGCTCCGAATATGGTGACGAGCGAAAGCTGCTCAAACGAAAACTAACAGAAGGCGTTCGTCACGACCGTGGACAGTGGTGGGCGACAAAAGCGAAAGGGATGGAAAAGCCATCGACGATTGGTAATAGCAGACAATTATTTAGACTTATTAGGGAAACATGTGAGCATAGGCAAACGATAAGTGAAACAATCTCTGAGAAAAATGGGACCATAAGTAGATCACAGGATAGACGACTGGAACGTTAGAAGGAACACTTTGAGGGGCAATATAACTGGCCTACAACCACGCTCAACTTACTCATTTTCCAACACCTCCTTGAATGGGATGTAGACACGGGTCCTCTGTCCCTAACTGGGATTACGAAAGCTGTCACTAGTCTGAAACAAGGCAAAGCTAAGGGACCTGATGGAATGACTCCAGAGGTATTTAAGTACGGTGGAGACAGTTTACTGTCTGCATTAAGTGAGATACTAGCAGCCTCTGGGAATCAGAGGAAGTCCCGTGGGGTCGGTGATAAGGGAGACAACTCTTCCTGTGATAATCACAGAGGGATTAGCTAGACTAATATAGTATCTAAAGTCCTAGGCTCAATAATCATGCGTAGACTAAGTGGTACTCGGGAGGCACAAACACGAGAAAGCCAGGCAGGCTTTAGACCAGGAAGAGGGTGTATTGATCATATTTCCACCCTCCGACAGATTCTAGAACACAGGCATTCCTACCGACGGCCAACAGTCATTATACTTCTTGACCTAAAGGCAGCATTCGATTCTGTCGACCGGGAGGATCTCCTGAGGTGGTTGGCTGTAAAGGGAATGCCGACAAAATATATTGCACTGATTGAGGAACTCTACTTGTACTCATGCAGTGAGGTAAGAGCTGACGGCGAGTTGCCGTCTGAACTGATGACGACTAGTGGTGTCCGTCAAGGATGCCCATTATCCCCTTTTCTATTCAACTTCATCATATAAGTACTAATGGACTTAACTCTAAGTGACTTCAGAGACTAAGGGATCGACTTGTTACCAGGGTATAATTTCGTTGACTTAGAATATGCAGACGATATAGTCCTCCCATCTGAACACCCTGAGCTGCAATCTACGAATGTTTGGTATGCGATTCGCTCCCGCCAATGTAACATGGTGTTACAGGACTGGACCACACTGACTCCTAGTTTAGAAATAGGAAATGAAGTGCTAGAGCACGTTGACTACTTCACTTATTTAGGAAGTTGCATCAGCCAGTGCCAACGGATTGATCACTGACGAAATCTCAGCTCCAATACAGAAGGCTCGATTTTTGTATTCCAGTTTACGCCTTCCCTGGCATAGACGTGGTATCCAACTGGATATCAATCAAAGGGTGTGTGTACTGCTCACCACTCCGCTCCGTCCTCCGGTATGGCTACCTGTTAGACCTGGTAATTGAGAGTAGAGACATGAAAAGGCTAGCTATCTTTGATCATAGGTGCCAATCTACCTATCTCCCGTGTGAAATGGTATATTAAGGTGAGTAATATTGATATTAGCCGTCGAGTGCTAGGCAAGGAGGGGAAATCAATCAACGAGGTTGTGAATCAGCCGCATCGATTGAGATGGTTAGGACGTGTGTTACGCATGCCTAGTCTAACCATCGCCTTCTTCGACGGGCAATGTTAGATGACATAGGGTCAGGTTAGAAAAGAGCCAGTGGTGGTCGAACTAAAACATGGCCTCATCAGTCAGTGGAATCCACAACAGTTAGTTTAAGCCAGCCAGGGAGGGAGGTGTCGACTTCCTGGTTTGGGTCCTTGGGACGATAAACACCAATGAAGGCTGGAGACAATTGGTGATATTGCTCATAATCATTCTCAATGGGTGGCGGAGATGCATCCATTCCTTGTGTCTGATAATGCCCAATAAAACTATATGGTTCTTTGACATTACTATTCTTTTTGCCTCAAATCTTTGTTTACTGTCACTATTTTGTATGTCTTTATACTTTCTTGTCTTTCTTTGTGTGCTACATGGAGTGTGGCGACTTGAACTCCCGCACATTTGTGCAAAGTTCTATGCTGAAACCAGTCAGTTATACCACAGACATCAACTGAAGTGAACGAGTTGGTCACTCACCCAGTAATTTGCGTCATATCGATTTAGGTAGCACACACCAGTACTACTGGTTAGTGTCAGCGGCATCCAACTAATCATCTCAACTATTCAGTAGTATACAAAGTCGTTATTCGAAAAGAAGTAACACTGTAGCATTGTGTTATATATTAAATAGAACTGTTCTATTATGGAACCCTTCACATGACTACATAACTAATTCTGCTTATTCAAGTATTGGTTTGTAGGGATTTAGTTGATTGGTTACAGGATTTCATCATGAGCTGACATCAGTTAGAGAACCATTGGAAAACCTGGGAGTACTGGACAGCTGTTTCATCCTAGTTTGGGACTCTTCAGTAGAACGCACCCACCGGGATTCGAACTGATGTCAGCTCATAATGAAATCCTGTAAGCAACCAACTAAATCCCTACAAACCAATCCTTGAATACCAATGAGATGCTCACTGGCGACTGGCCCTATTCAGGTAGGCAGCTACCTGGGTTCCACTGGGAAGTCGTGACCAATAGAGTTCAGCTGGTCGGGTGTGAGTACAATTACTCGCCGAAGACATTGGCTGGCGGTTGCGCTATATCGTGAATTGGCAGAAGCCAGAATTCATAGGCCATTGGATTGGGTCCCAGTGGCTTAATGGTATACGAGCTCGCCTAGTAACCAGAAGGTCCTGGCTTCGAATCTCGGTGGGTGCGTACTGCCGAAGAGTTCCAAACTAGGATGAAACAGGTGTCCAGTCCTCCCAGGTGATTTTCCAATGGTTCTCTAACTGATGTCAGCTCATGATGAAATCCTGTAACTAATTCTGCTTATGTCGGAATCCGCGCACTTAGCAATGACTCTATCTTGATTGTAATTTGTCACGCTAACTTCCTGTAAAATTTGCACATTGATTTTGTTTTGGTGTTGTAGTTTAATCTTATAAAACCAAGTGGCTATTCAGTAAAAAATATACCGAAATTATTTCACAGTGATTACTTAAATATTTTATTATTATCGACCAGGTGGTGTGTGTAACCGATAAAAATCCTACGATATAAAAAATCAATTCCCTTTAACTTGCAAACACCGTTCTTTTCACGTTATTCAAGGTAAAACCTTGGGTTACACCTACTGGTTTTAAGATCAGTTTCTTTTCCTTCCAATGCGTATTGAGGGGAATATAAGGCTTTAGCCTGGGGGTTCTTAAATTTCAATAGAGGCTCTCGTGTTGTTTCCACGGAGTATGGTGACTAGTCTTACACCTAACCTTCTATCTTTGCCGGGGTTACTGCTGGCTGGTAAACTTTGTGAAGTTTAGAAGTGTATCCATCTGGGGATCAAACTTCGCAACAAGTGTGCGGTTGTTGAGAATTCTACCACTGAACCACCGACCGATAAGCTGGATCAATAGCCACTTTTAAAAAATTAAGCATAGTTTATTGTGAAGACAAAGAAATAATGTTCGCTGTATTGTATGTAACCTACCCAAATATCAAAACGTCCAGGAAATATTCTTTCAGGTACACGAACAGCGTAAATCGTTGCTCCACTTAAATACAAAATTGCCATAAGAACAAGCCAACCTAAGGAGCCTTGAAAAATGGAATTAAGGAATCCATCTAATATTATAGTATGTATGCATGGAATAAGAGCTGAAAGGCCCAATCCCATGAAAACACCAGCTCGAAGTGGACGATAACGTGGTGTAGTGAAAGATGGATGCATTGACACGATAATTGATGCTGTGCCGAGAACGACAACCAGAACCATATAAAACAATCTAGCCCATAGCATGCAGTAAAAGGAATAATATAAGTAAGGTATAAACGAGCCTATATTTAGAAACGCTATACCAGTATAGTCCAATCTGTAAATATAAAAACAAAAGACACGTCAACTTGATTAGATACACACTTAAAAGAAATCATATGAAAATAACATCAAAATGTTTAGCCTCAGTAGCGTAACATATAGAGGATGTGGGTTAAGCATTCAACTTTCAGTCAGTAGATCGCTAGTTCGAACCCCATCCCGCCTGCTTCAGCTTAGGGGACTGGGTAGTCTAACCAACTATCACATAAATGTAGCTTATAGTCTAGAACTTGAAAGACCTATTCCGGGGACTGAGTTAAAAATAACGGGCGTCAATAACTCATGAATGCAACTGATGTAAAATTCACTGCAAAAATTAAAGACTGATTAATGAATACAGAATACTCTTCGATAAATTCATCAGGCTGAAAAGAGTTGATAAACAACACGAAGACGTAAAGAATAAGTAGGCTTATCATGATACACTGATTATAAAGTGACCGAGTGTTTTGAGAGGTAAATCATTTAGCTTCTGAAATAAGTCCATTTATGTAATCCTAATTACGAGCCACACAGTTATTGTCTGAGGGGTGATGATATTGTAACGACAAAAGACAAAGGCTAGACAACAGATTGCTCAGAAAATCAAGGCTGAACTACATAGAGCGGAACTCGGACCCGGGGCCGACTGACTGAATTTACAACCTAAGTAAATGAGTCACTCACACAACGAAAAGATGGAAATGTCGACACAGAATGTTATGATTAATTTAAATTTTTAAGTATTGGTTTTTTTGTAGGGATTTTGTTTGATTGCATGGAGGATTTAATCATGAGCTGACATCAGTTAGAGAACCACTGGAAAACCTGGGAGTACTGGACAGCTGTTTCGTCCTAGTTTGGGACTCCTATGTCGTGAACTGGCAGAAGTTAGAATTCAAGGACCATTGGATCGGGTCCCAGTGGCTCAATGGTCTACGAGCTCGCCTTGTAACCAGAAGGTCCTGGGTTCGAATCCCGGTGGGTGCGTACTGCTGAGGAGTCCCAAACTAGGACGAAACAGCTGTCCAGTACTCCCAGGTTTTCCAGTGGTTCTCTAACTGATGTCAGCTCATGATTAAATCCTCCATGTAATTTAAATTTATCGTGAATAAGGATCGCGCTACCTCTTTTAGTATTTAATACTTCCAAGTCACAGAATTATCTAAAACAACGGCTCATCTGCAGTGGCAAAAACTAATTTAACAGGTGAAACACACTATTAGATGTACGATTAGAGTGAAAAAGCATTTGATTAGTCACTTATGATGAGATTAAAAGAAGACTAGGTAGACCAATACAATTAACCAAGTCATACAATAGTATAAATCAAAGATTGTAGAGCATAACATTTTCTAATTCATCAGTTAACAATCCAAAATATGGATTTATATTCATAGTATACTTGACACCCTGAATTACAATCTGATTAATCTTCACTGTTTCGAAATAGGTTGACAATAAAAACAATGCTCTAAAGTGATTTATTTAACATGTTTGACAGACTGAATGTACAAACACAAACAGAAATATAATTACGGTTGCACAGCTAAGCGAATGAATTAGTCGGGAATAAATCTTTTCACTGAAAGGCCTGTTCTGATTTTCATGTCTTGATGGACACTTTCCGCGTATATTGACTACTATCCAGTTATTAGGTCCATAGTTTCTTCTACACAACTGCTACCTTGCCATGGTGGTCGGGCTTGAATACCGCAGTGACCCAACAAGCTAAGTGGCTGGGACTCAGGTCTCTGCAGGTCCTACCGTGTCAGGAAGGTTTTCTGGATAGCGGTTAAACTAAAAGCAGTTACCATGGGGTACATGGGCTCCAGAATCCAATCGGATCAAATGGCGTATCAACCCATATAGGTTACCGGCAACTATGGGAATGCCGCTTCTGACGCTGCTCCACTGCCTTGCAGATTAGACTCCAAGTCAGAGGCTCGGGGTTGGTTCCTTAAGAAAACCACCTGCTTCGGTCTAGGCACCCGGGCAGTATCTCAGCCCTCAAACAGCAAATGAAGTAAAACAACAAACTATCATTGAAATTCATCGCGCGCCAGTAAAAATGATTTCAAGCAATAATGATCCCTCAAACAACTTATGTCCTTCCAACCTTACTTTTATTTTTATTCATAGTTTCCTGTATTTTACCTTTGCTAAACGTGACTTCTTAACCTTCGATAGCCGTTTGCCTTTGTCTGGATTCCCAGCCTATCTGTGTCGCTTCGAGATGTTAGTGAGTAACCCTAAAAATGGTTGTCCCCAATGTGACATCTAACACAGATATCCTGAAACCGCGTGCCGCGTTCAAGCTGGCCACCTAAAATGTTCGGAAGCTGATGAAAATCGGACAACAGGCAGGGTTCGTAAGAACATTGGAAAGCCTCGCTATCGATGTCTGCTGCATTTCGGAGACCCGCATTCAAAATCACAGTGAAGTGCTTCAATTATCCTCTCCATCTGGAAGTTCTAGTAGCATGTACCACCTGCGCTTGTCCGGGGACCCTGTGGCGTCGACATCCGGGTAGCTGGTGTCGGTGTCGCACTGAGCGCTAGAGCCGAAGCTGCATTGCTCTACTGGATTCCCATTAACAGTCGTTTATGTGCTGCGAGGCTGGAAGGTTATACGAAAGTAAGGAGTAGTAGGCCACATAGGCGGTGTCTATTTGTTGTCTCTGCCTATGCACCGACGGATTGCAGCCCGGATGCAATTAAGGATAAGTTCTACTACCAACTTAGCGATCTCTTGAAACAGGCGGGTTGAAGGGGTATCGTAGTGCTGGCTGGGAACTTGAATGCACAGGTTGGACGTCTAAGCTCAGAGGAGAATCATCTAGGTGGTCAATGGGGCCTACATGGTCGCTGGTCAGATGATGGGGGCCATCTTCTGCAGCTTTGGGCGGATCACAACCTATTTCTAGCCAGCACCAACTTCCAGCACAGCCATCGCCGTAGCGCTACCTGGCGTCCTCCCTCTGCGAATCAAGCTTGGACTCCGATTGGTCATATCGCTGTCAGTTTCCGGTGGCGAGGATGCATACAAGACTGTCGCCCCTTCTGAAGCACATGCCTGGACTCCGATCATGCTTTAGTGTATGCCAAGTTCGTCTTGCGATTTGGTGGGGTTCATAAAAGGCGTCGTCTAAACTTTGATGTGAGCAAACTAGTAGCACCTGCTACTTCTTTGAAATATCAGAATGAGCTACAGTCAAAGCTTGCAAGCAACCCCCCCCCCAAGTAGTATAGATGAACATTGGCTTCATGTGCAAGGTGCCATGCAAAAGGCAAGTGTAGCCGCTTGCGGCTTCAAAGAATGCTCCGCAAAAACCACTGGGTTTCTGCGAGTTTCTTGCAACTCCTGGATGAACGCCGGTCCATTCCGGCTGGCAGCGAATACAACAATAAGCGAAAGGCGCCCACGCGCAAGATTAGACAGTGTTTACGTGAGGACAGCGAAGCCTGGTGGTCAGAACGTGCGTGTAAGATGGAGTCAGCTGCTGCATCTGGCAACAGCCGGAAGCTGTTCCAACTCATCCGAGCTACCGGTGGCAAGAAACAAGGTGTCAGCGAGACGGTCTGTGAGGCAGATGGCACGCCAATCACCAGCTTGAAAAGACGCCTAGAACGCTGAGCAGAGCACTTCGGGAAACAGTTTAGCTGGCCACCAGCTTCAGTGTCTACTGTCATTAGCCCCAGTGCTCCTTGGTCGGTTAGTACCGAACAATCCACCGAAGCGGAGGTCCCTAAGGAACTCCAAGTGTTAAAACGCCATAAGGCGTCCGGCCCAGACAATATACCCCCGGCTCTTTTTAAAGATGGTGGCGAGACTCTCACAATGGCTCTAACTGGGTTGTTCAGGAAGGTATGGGAGACTGAGAGTGTACCATCTATGTGGAACGAAGCCATTATCGTCCCCATCTTTAAAAAGGGTCAACGTAATTCGTATGACAATCATAGAGGTATCAGTCTGCTACCAGTCGCGTCTAAAATATTGGCTGCTGTCTTGCTTCGCAGGCTGTGCAAAATACGTGAGGGATTGATTCGCGAAGAGCAGGCTGGGTTTCGTTCAGGTCGTGGATGCATTGATCATGTGTTCACCCTTCGTCAGTTGTTGGAACACCGCCACACGTATTGCAGGCCAACGATCGTTGTGTTTATTGATATTAGGGCTGCCTTCGATTCGTTGGACAGAACTGTGCTCTGGAACTGTCTGTTAGAGAGAGGTGTACCTCAGAAAGTTGTTAACATTTTGAAAGCCCTATACAAAAACACCTCAGGTAGAGTGAGAGTATACAACCAACTGTCACCACTGTTCCAAACCAACAATGGGGTTAGACAGGGTTGCCCAATCTCTCCATCTCTCTTTAACTTTGCCATCGATGACATTCTGGAGTCAGCTGTGAAGGATGTGCGTGAAGGTGGTGTGGATCTGCTACCTGGAGATAGACTTTTCGACCTCGAGTATGCAGACGATGTCGTCTTACTGTGCGATAGCATGCAGGCTGTCCAAATCGCACTTAATCAGTTGGCGATCAGTGTCTGTAAGTACGGTATGCGCCGTATAAGTGCAAACTACTGTTACAAGATTGGCAGGAGTCTGTACCTGCTCTCACTCTTGCGGGTGAACCGCTTGAAGTTGTGTATCTGGGTAGTTGTGTGAGTGCTGGCGGAGGGGTGACAGATAAGATTTCCAACCGTATAATGAAGGCTAGGGTGGCATACATCAACTTGAGTCACCTATGGCGCCGTCGCAACGTTAGCCTGGCTGTCAAAAGTCGGGTATACAATGCTTCGGTGCGGGCTGTCTTGCTCTACGCCTGTGAAACCTGGCCTCCCCGAGCTGAGGATATGCGGCGACTCTGCGTGTACCATTTTTTTCTACGTTTAAATAATACACTTTATAACATCTACGAACAACATCGAAGTGTGTTTCTATACACTGATCTTATATATATATATATATATATATATAGATATATATAGTCTTGAGCTTAGCTTCTGCTTCAGATAACGTAGCGGTATTGTATATACATTTGACATAATCCTAAAACATATTAATCATTCACATCACCTGACTAGTACTCCCCCTACACAAGTCATCACCTTTGTGATGGATAACGCATACGAAGGATAGTGTGAATCCAATGAGATTATGATAATAGAAAACAGACTGAAGTAGTCAAACGAACTCATATATTTACACTGCTGTGCAACAGAAAATAAACATCAGGAACTGACAATTTAAACCACTTCTTACGATTCATTTTTATAAAGAAATGTTAGGTTATCAAACAACAATAACAATCGTAAAGCTTACTTAATCATCAAATTACCTGTTGAAAAGTCTTCCAATAGTTTTTGAATGACAAGACAGAGTGTGGAATAAACATGAAAATCCAAGGCAGACAACTGCACCAAAAAAGAATGCAGAAAATACAAGTTTTTCTTGCCACTGTATAAAAACCTCTGATTGAACTAAGCTGAAGATTGCAATTGCGAAAAAACTGCCACATCCTGAAACAAATTAAAGAGATACTGTATACAACTTAATCAGCGTTAGTTAGCAGGGATTTGACTGGTTCCAAGTTTTCGAGAGCGAAAAGACTTCATTTAGAGAACCACTAGGAACTAGGGAGTACTGGACAGTTGTTGCATCCTAGCTTGGGACTCTTCAACAGTACGCACTCATCACCCCATCACCAGCAATCGAACCCAGAACCTTCAGGTTACCAGGTGGGCTAGTATGCCATTGAGCCTCTGGGATGGAATCCGATGGCTTATCAATTCTAACTCCTAGCAATCCGCAATATAAAACGCGACTGTCAGCCAATGTCATCGGTGAGTATCTGTCCAACCCGATGGTTTAATGGTCAACGAGCCTGGTTTGCAGCCTAAAGGTCTTGGGTTCGAGCCCCTGTGGGGTCGTGGGTGCGTACCACTGAAAGGTCCCATACTAGGATGAAATAACCTTCCAATTCTTCTCGGTTTTCAAAGGTTCTCTAACTGAAGTCAGTAATAAGAAACTAGAAATAATTGAACGCTACAAAGTAATAGTTGCACTCGAAAAGCTGAGATGATCTATAAGTGTCTGCTTTTCAAAATAATAACAAACTTGAGAAAACGTAAGTGTTGCCACAATGACATCTCAAAGGACTGTCCAGATTTGAGTGGAGGAATTCGCAGGGAAATTTAGCTCTATCAATCACAAGCATGGAACCTAGGGTCGAGTAAAATATACCAATAAATTTTCCTTCACAATCCAAGCTATATACGACACAAATACATAATGACAACACAAGACTTGGCATTAATAAGTAGTTGTCTAATACACTACATAAGGTCATCAACTCTACATCGGTGCATGAATACTACTACATATGAATTCTTTACGTTCCTAGTGGAACAAGGCTTCAAGTTAGAGACTTGAAGTTTCTGTAGCCGTGGTATTCATTTCTACGGCATGGGGTTGCTGCTCTCATGACCGACCTTCGCTCTTTACCAGCCTTATAACCGGCTTAGAGAGGTAAAGAAGTGTGCCAGCTGGGGATCGAACGCCGGACCACATGGGTGGTTGACGAGCATTCTACCGCTGTGCCATCGACGCACGGTGCATGAATAATGATGAACAACGAAGTATAAACGATTTCCAGTGAAAATCAATTAGAGGACCAATACTCATTATTATGTTTGTACAACACGGAAATCAAAAATACAGAACTCTCGAGATAAACACTTTTGAATGCGATAATAGATACTTTGTCACTACCCAGATCATATCTGAATCCACAGATACGTGGCACACATCGATAACGAGAACATTTTAGTCCTGACCATTTTCTTTTGTCCAATTTCGTCACCGGCTACACGCTGGAAGATGATAGCCTAGATCATTCATTCCGTTTCAAAATACCTCAGATGATGCGATAAAGACAGTTCAGTGATTCGAAACAACATACACAGATTATAACTTTGAATATCAGTGAGCAGCAGGGTTGGGATGACGACAAAATCTGCACAGATAGACCGTATATAGGCGCCATTATAACAAAAAATGGTGCGACATCAATATAGGATGTATTACTAGGGAATATTATGTAAGTACCCTAAAATTGTCACTGCTGAGTAATGTAGAGATAATTATATTAAGTGACTAATCACTCTTTTGAGTATTTAAATGCATGAAGTACAAGAAAGCGGAAGATTATAAGTTACCTTTTTATTGAAGAGGGGCTAAAAGTTATTTATAAATCAAAGCCCCCTTTCCTATCTGGAGGGCTACAAAATAAGATTGGTTGAAAACTGAGATTCCTACAATTTCTAAACACCGGATACGTCTTTACTCTCCAGAAATATGCATTTTTGAACCTTAGCAATACTTTAAGGTTTATCCAAAGCTATATTAGGACATTTATAGAATTTTTGAGCAGATATATGCAGAGGAGATGTAAGTAGTGATTACTTAATTTCCTTATTATGACATTTTGAAGCCAATACTGAAATGAGATTCACGATTTAGAAAATTAATTCTGTAGGTTTCTTTAGGGAAAAATAAGCACATTTGTTTATTAATACCTAACATTTCTGTAAGTTTCAAGTCTCACAGTGCAAAACAGTCCTTGATGTAAAGACCATACAAAAACAAATAAATTCTCGGTCGAAAAAATTACCTAATAAATGAGTCCAGATATTTCCAGTTTCTGTATGAACTCTGAAAATAGACTTGAAACAAGCCCAAAATGTATTCAGCTGAGGACGATGATAATGAAGAATGAAATCATTGTCTCGTAACCATGCAGGAAGACTACGATGATTAACTACTTGCCAACCTCTGAGCCAGACATGACGCACAAATTCTTCAGCACTATGTGCCATCATTTGAGCAAGCTAATTTCAAAGAAAAATGTCGTGCAACTTAAAGCCAGACACAATAAAGATTTACAAACAACTGGAGCCATGGAGGCATCACTAATATAGACATGCACAAAAAATATACTATTACAGAATACTTATTAAATGTACATATAATTTTGGATATAACTCTAGTCTTTACATCTACCCTCAATAAAGCAAAACACAATCAAGAATATAAACTCCTAACTATTTATTATTTCACTGTTGAAAAATAATCGGAACTAGTTACGACAGAATTAACCTACTATACTTTTAAACTTTCAGTATTACTTCAACTACTGCAGTCATTATATCAAATCTGTTTGAAAAAAAATAATAACCACCTAAATTAAGTAGATTTACGATGGTAAAATCAAAAGACTTGCTTACATCACATATTTGGAATGACTGCTAAATATATATGAAGGAAATACTCTTACGCTCTTGTCTTAGGGTTCAAACTACAGAGCATTATAGTAGCGCATAACTCAAAGGTGACGAAAAATCAAAAGTACCACAAGTTACTACTCGATAGACGATGCAAATAACACTACTTTCGAGGGGAAAATAGGCTAGTACTGAAGAGATTTTAGGAATATCAAAGTGAACTGGCTTCTTTTTAAACTATAAATATGTTTGAAAGTAAAGATATTGTTGAAAATCACTGCAGCGAATTTTCACAGGAGAAATCTGGGTTGTTCTTGATTGTAGATGCTTTCATTCAATAGCGATTCAATAGTGATAAGCGACTAGAAAGCAAGTAATGCTGCGTGAAGTATTAGGAAGAGAATTTAAATCAATCAACAAGTCTGTGAATTTGTATAGATTGAGATGGTCAGGACACGTGTTACACATGCCAAGTCACCTTTCATCTGAAATTTATTGCAAAACTATTTGCAAATCTGCTGTTCCAGTGTTTGTTTAAGAGGATCTACCTTTGTGTAAAGTTCTACAGTGGATTATCTCTTTGCTCGTTCGATACAACGACATCAGTAATCCTGCATAACAGTATAAGAAACTTTTGGAATCAGTACAGGTTGTTGATTAAAGCTCTTGAAATTCATTTAATTATGTATCAAGGCGAACACCCGGTTTGTCTACTAAAGGTTAGGCAACCAAAGCCTATTAAAGGTCTTCACCTATTAGGCTTTGATTACCATCTATTACAAAAAACTTATGAAACGTCTCTTAGCGATGATTCTGAGTCAAAAACGATTACTGGATAATTACCTGAGCAATATCATATTGTCGAAGATACTCAGCACAAGTTATTTGTTCATCTTCATCTTCTCCTACGCAAGATGTCTCCCGAGCATCCATCTGTATTATTTCTTTTATAGGAAAGTCATCTTCATTATAATCCATAGTAATCCACTAATACAGAATTGAGTTTGTTAGGCTGAGACACTACATATAAATTGTGTTGGGAAATTAAGTGGTAGGGCAACACTAAAACAACCCAAAAGTTGAAAAAGAAAACAATAGGAATTGAGCAGACATATCTGAACAGACATGACAATGTCATGTTCATTCGAAGGATACTACCAACATTTAAATGAGGGAGGAAGTTATCACTAAATCAGAGCAAAAAAATAAGAAATGACTCCTAGTCTCATCATATTTTTAGCTGGTACTGGTAAATACAAGAAAAAGAATCAACAAAAGAAAAAGAATGCAACAAAATTACTGAGGGAAAACGTAAGGCTAATTATGTGGGGGAAGATGTACAAACCAAAAACTGATTAGCATAAGAATAGACTTGTGATTTACAGGCAGAAAAAGTGAGTCACCACACACACCTCTGAGACGGCGATCTAATTTACGTAACTACAATATTTTGCTAGTGTATTTCATTCAATATCTCTTCGGGAAAGCCTCGTGTTCCGGACATAAGAATAAATCTTTTAAGAATACCATTAATGTGAAATAAGAAAAATTGGTCCACAGACCAGAGGCTACATTTACATCTGGCCTATATTATCATGCGTTCAAATATCAACTGTCACATCGAAGTTCAAAATCAAAACAGTGTCATTAACCATCATAAATAGATGCTTCATTGCTACGGACATGAGAATGTGAATGCAACATAAGAGGCATTGGAGACATATTCCTGTTTGTCGTTTATCAGCATGCACATGAGGGCATAGTAAGATCAATAAATTTTTGGTGAGGAAAATTAATTGTGACAATTTAGTTTTTTCCGTCATAACCCCCAAAGGACTACCTATTAAGGGATGAAACAACTGTTTGTCTTAGTGTTGCTAAACGATACATCGTAGTGGGTTATGAACACAATTTGCACAAGCTTATTATAGTTTGATTGGACACCGGTGGCTAGTGTTATGCGTCTAGTCCTTTATTTGGTGCAGACTAAATTCAGTCAGTTTGGTTTGCAATGTGAGCACCATTCTTAGGTGGCTCGCCATCACGGTGCACATTGATTTGATGATATTAGATGGTTGGAGGCAATCGGCAGCAAGCCTTGGACCTGGGTTTCGTGCTAGCTCGCACTCGTCAGCAAGGAGTATCCGCAACCTTGAAGGAATTTATGTCCCTATCATGCTGGGACAGTAGACACCATATACAAATCCAGAAAGTACTGGGACTAACTGGCGAAAGGATCAACTCCAATCACAGTAGTAACAGTCTTAACATACCTCATACTACAAACCACATATATTTAAACCCAGCACTACTCCCTTGGGAGTCAACCAAAGCTACGACAGACGAGTGGCGGGACAAGCTACGCAGAAGTTTACCGAAGATCAGGAACCTATACCTTACAATCAAGAAGCGAGAACAAAGAAATCAAATTGGTTTATACTAGCTCGTAAAAACGGTATTGGATATATTGGATATTGGAAGTTGCATGAGTAATGTTACAGTCGGTTAATAAGTTAAACTATAGCATAGCATCTCAGCTAGCATTATTTTCGGGCTCACTGCAGATTTTTGGGGGCAAAATCTTCGGTCGCATCTAGTTACGAGTGACATTGTTCCTAAGGCCGCCCCAAAAAATCTGCAATGCGCCCGAAATTGATGCTAGCTGGAATACCACGAACGCATGACTAACCAAAGGCCAGCAAAACCACAGAACCGCGTATTTTTGTTTGGAACAACGGCGACAAGGAATTCAAGCGTCTCAGCTTCATTTACAAACATTAATCCATTCCAGAATCACAATACCGACCCAAATCTCAACCGTACATATTAAGTCTGATCTAGAGTAGGAAACATCGACCTTATAATACCTCTAACAGAAGCACTGGGTTTGAATCCCTTAAAATTCTACGTCTATAACACCGAAATCGTGACTTGAAGCAGTTCTAACCGATCATTGTGGACAACGTTTTAGATTGCACTTGCCTCCGTAGTCTTTTATGTGAAGGGCATCCAATATCCAATAACCTGATTACGAGCTAGTATAAACCAGTGGTTTCTTTGAGCTCGCTTCTTGATTGTAGAGGTTCCAGATCTTCGGTGAGCTTCCGCGTAGTGAGTCCCGCCACTCGACTGCTTTAGCTCTGATAGACTCCAAGAGGAGTGGTGCGGGACATCATCAGACTGGACTTATATATCACGTTCTGTTAAAATTTCGCTCGGAAATTTTTGTCCATAAGTTTTAATAAAACTGTGTTATTGATGGTAGTTCCCATTTCTTGGCTAGTTATGTTGGTGTCCGCGTCAAATCACAGGCCTGTAGTGCACATTGTACCTTTGAACTTTTGTTTAAACTGACTCACCCACGGTGATCCACGTTTTATCTTTTGACTTGGGAGTCTTCCGTACGTTCATTGGTTCGCTCTCTTGTTGTGCTCTCTTTTTGCACACTCTCCGAGCCTACCTCCAGCAACGTCTGCAGATAAGTTGTACAGTCACTTTATTTATTAAATCTGTTATTCTGTTACGTTAAATACAACTCATACTAAGAATTCTTTCCATTGTTAGCTTTTAAACTTTGATTGAGTTAATCAGTACTTACACGTTAGGTGGAGTACTCGTAAAGTCATAAGACGGTGAAGTTTTTAGTAAGTGTGGTGATTTCGAAGACTATCTTAAGTCTAGCTTCAACACTTACAAGTGGTGAGCCCGTTTTCACCGTTTTCCGCTATAGTAGCTTAACGTGTTAACAACTCTTTTTACGTACCGTCTATTTTGTTATTTTTTTTCTTTTCTTTCACGCACGGTTATAAAGGTTTGATTTGTTTTGTTTGTACTTATATTGGTGTTTTATCACCTTGTTAATATTTTGTCTTGTGTGCAGGATGGCTGACGGGGGGTCATCAAGCTTTGACGCAGTGGCCCATATAGCCAAGCTATACGAGGAGATCTGTAGTATACGACAGGAGATGAAATCCAGGAGTCATGGACGCAGTCCCTTGAGTTCGCGTAGTAGTAGACCCTTGCCACGTGCTAGCAGCAAGCGCCGACAGTCCCGAAGTAACCAGCCTGGAGTGTGCTGGTATCATCGACGTTACGGAGCAAAAGCCCAAAAGTGCACTCGCCCGTGCACCTTCGATGTTCAACAGTCGGGAAACTAGCAAGCCAGCACGTACTGGCGACTAACGTCGCTGGCGAACCGCTCTCATGTCGCCTCTTCTATGTTACCGACCGTAACACTGGGATACGCTTCCTAATTGATACCGGAGCAGAGGTCAGTGTAATCCCACCCACAGTAGAGGAGCGCAGGCGGCCAATGTCTCTTCAACTACGAGCCGCAAACGGCTCGCCAATCGCTACGTTCGGCAGGCGCTTTATAGATCTTAACATCGGTTTGCGTCGTTCACTTCGTTGGGTCTTCCTGGTGGCAGACGTTACCACAGGTATAATTGGCATGGATCTATTGCAGCACTACCAATTACTGGTAGATACAGGTAATCATAAGTTAAGAGATCCTGTCACAAACCTCTCCGTCAGCGGTATCGTCACACAAGGCCCAGCCCTCAGCCCTGTATATGCCACACCCACTAGCACTGGTCCTTATTCGCATATACTGCAGTCTTTTTCAGATTTGTTCAAACCTAGCAGCGGCCTGCCATGTGCGACTTCCAACGTCACACACCATTGTCACTACTGGCCCGCCAGTTTTCGCAAAGCCGAGGCGACTATCCCCAGAAAAACTAAAGGTTGTCAAAGCGGAGTTTGAGCATATGCTAGAAATGGGGATTATTAGGCCATCCAGCAGCCCGTGGTCCTCACCGTTGCACCTGGTACCTAAGAATAACGGTTTAGATTGGCGTCCTTGTGGCGACTACCGCAGACTAAACGCACAAACTGTTCCCGATCGCTACCCTGTCCCTCACATACACGATTTAACCGCCTCACTCAAGGAAGCTCGAGTATTCAGCAAACTGGACCTTACACGGGCTTACTACCAAATTCCCGTCGACCCCGAGGATATACCTAAGACTGCTGTGATTACACCGTTTGGCCTGTTCGAGTTTCTTCGAATGCCTTTTGGCTTACGGAACGCTGCCCAAACCTTCCAGCGTTTTATACATGACGTTTTGCGCGGGCTTGATTTCGCCTTCGCCTATCTAGACGATATCTTGGTAGCTAGTCCAGATGAAGCCACTCATCAACTTCATTTGCAGACAGTTTTCCGAAGACTTGTGACACACTCCCTCACACTCAACTTGCCGAAGTGTCAGATTGGAGTCACTTCCCTGAATTTTTTGGGACATAGGATAGACAAAGATGGAATTTATCCGTTACCTGACCGGGTAGAAGCTATTCAAAACTTCCCTCTACCCACTTCTCCCAAGGCACTACGCACTTTTCTCGGGATGGTTAGTTACTACCGTCGCTTTATCCCACAGTGTGCTCATATCGTGACCCCCTTGACTGATATGCTTAAAGGTAAATGCAAGTCTTTGGTGTTCACTAAGGAAGCCTCGACAGCTTTTGCAGCTATCAAGAAAGCTATTGCTGACGCCACAATGTTGGTCCATCTAGATGTTCAACTTCCAATCAGCATCTCCGTAGATGCCTCTAATACTGCAATCGGAGCCGTCCTACAACAGCGTATGGCTAATGTATGGCTACCGATTGCTTTCTTTTCACGTAAACTTACCGCATGCGAATCTCGATACAGCACATTCGGTAGGGAACTTCTCGCTGTCTATGCTGCTGTCAAGCATTTTCGTCACTTCGTGGAAGGCCGGCAATTTACGGTATTTACCGACCATAAGCCATTGACGTACGCCCTCCACACTACTTCAGACCGGTATTCACCGCGAGAATCACGCCATTTAGACTATATTTCCCAGTTCACTTCTGATATCCAGCACGTTTCTGGATCGGATAACGCGGTAGCAGACGCTTTGTCTCGCGTATGTGCTACATCCGTACCACCAACCATCGATCTTCATAAAATGGCCGAACTCCAACTGAATGATTTGAACTTAGAACACCTGTCAAATAAAACCTCACTGAAGATAGAACGTGTCTCCTTGCTAAACAGTGAAACAACTATACTTTGCGATATGTCAACTGGTACTCCTCGACCGATTGTTCCCACGTCTTTACGCCGAACTGTGTTTGAGTCACTCCACAACCTCTCCCATCCTGGCATACGAGCAACGGACAAGTTGATTTCTGCGAGATTTGCGTGGCCCGGTATGAACCGTGATGTGCGTCAATGGACACGTGCTTGTGTACAATGCCAACGTGCTAAAGTCACCAAGCATAACATCACGCCGTTGGGTACGTTTGCGACCCCAGACGCTCGGTTCCATCATATCCACCTGGATATAGTAGGGCCTCTGCCCCCGTCTAACGGCTGCTCGTATTTACTCACATGTGTGGATCGTTTCACACGTTGGCCGGTAGCCATTCCGATACCTGATGTAACGGCTCAAACCGTCTGTCGTGCCTTCATGGAAGGCTGGGTTGCCCATTTTGGATGTCCCGCAACTGTCACTACCGACCGCGGACAACAATTTGAATCCACAAGCTTCAAGGGGGATCTGCAGTGCTCGCCAGCTGAATTGGTGTACGGTACCACCATGCGTTTACCAGGTGAGCTAATCGCTCCCGAAACTTTCGAGCCAAATTTCCCGATACCACCCGTTACGCTCAGCAACTTAAAAGTTTTTTGCAGCGACTCCGACCAGTTTCCACACGCACTCAGAACCGAAGGGTTCAGGTTGATCGGCGACTTGATGACTGTACACACGTTTTCGTGCGTCACGACGCCATACGAAAGCCATTACAACCACCGTATGACGGGCCTTTTAAGGTCCTTAGTCGTAAAGATAAATTTTTCGTTATTGACCGATGCGGCCGCCCAGACACTGTCAGCATAGACAGACTTAAAGCGGCATACACTGAAGAACCTTCACCCTCCCCATCAGCTCAATCAAATAGCTCCACTGAACCTAGTCCTTGTCCAGACTCAACTACCTCACCTTCAGTGGTGAATGATGATTCTCCTACCGTCACCAGTAAGACCCCTGTCACACGTGCTGGTCGACGTGTTCACTGGCCCAAGAGGTTCGTAGAATTCTTTCACTGAACTAATCCATAGGTAATGCTACTAGTGATTTTTTATTCCTTGTCACAATTTCTAATTCAATTCTGCTATATTTAATCTATTTGGTCCCGCTTCTGGGAGTAGTCGTTTTAACCCTCACTAATCCTTTTAATCTTTATCTCTCGTTACAGAGGACCAGCAGCAGTTTGTTTTTACCCCTAATTTTTCATCTATTTCATCTCAATCTACTCGCTAGATCAGTTGGCTTCTCATCTCATCTTGTAACCCACACCAAAAGAGGAATTATGAACAGTATATTACCTTTCACTGCCCATTTTCTTCCAAAAAAGAAAAAAATTAATTATTATTAAAAAAATTTTTATAAAAAAAGAAAATATTTAAAAAAAAGAAAATACAAAAAAGTAAAAAAATGTAAAATAATAATAAATAAACAAAAAAATTTTTTTTAATAAAAAAAGATTGAATTGAATTTTTTGATTTTTCCGTCGATTGATTCAATTCAATAATTAATATGACCCGTCGCACAAGAGGTGGCTCTCGTGGCCCAAGTGGTCTAGTGGATAACGCTTTGGCGTTTGAAACTATGGGTACTGGGTTCGAGCCTCGGTGGGAACATCATCACTCACTGAGAAATGCAGGTACATCCAGCTGACGAGTCCCAAATAGGACGAAATGCGCATCCTGGATTCCACTGCTAGCCACCATCCACCAATGTACACTAAAAAAAGATTATTTAAAAAAAACTTCCACTGTAAAGTTAAATGGACAGATATACATATTTTTTTGCGCATAAATGCTTCACTTCTATGCTGTACATAGTAATCCGCTCAATTTATTTTCACAGCCTGTCCTATATTCCTTCGGGTTTATGCCCTCCTGAAATTCATTTATTTTGTGAACCGTACTTATAAACATTAGGCATCATCTTAGTTATGCACTTAGAAACATGAACAAAGTAATTTTGGTAATGATAACTACTCATAGCTATTGGTTATGTACTAACTTCTCTGTAATTTTATAAGTTCTCACAGGGTAGAAACTTCCTTTGTTTTATCTCATTCTAACGTACTACTTCCAAGTTGCACCACTTTTCCTCGCATTGATTTCGCACAAGCTTTTGTAGTACCTTTACACCGATTTTGAAATCTTAACCTTCTTTCCCATTTTCTTCTGTTGTTTTTTTTTACCCTGCTCCTTATCATACGC